TCTGGTTTGCACATGAGTCAAAAGTTAGACAGAGGTTTGGTTTGCATATGAGTCTGGTTTGCACATGTCAAAAAAATAGTTTGGTTTGCACATGACTCAGAAGGTAGGCATATGTTTAGTTTGCACATTGGTTTAGTTTGCACATGAGTTTAGTTTGGACATGAGTCCAAAAGGTACACATAGGCTTCGTTTGCACGAGAGTCAAAAGTTAGAGATAGGCCCGATTTGCAAGTGTGTCGAAAGAGTAGATATAAGTTTGTTCCATGGCGTCTGCGCCACATCAGACCCTTAAAATCAGACCCTTAACATCAGACAATTGAAATTAAGGGGCTGTGATTTATCCGAACACGCTTGACCACTCGTTGCCAATCCTCAAGAATTCAATTAGCGGCTTCATCTGCCTAACCAGACAATCTGGTCGACTGTTATATTTAACGGCCCCCACGTGGGTCGTATATGGCACAAGGCCGAGTTTAGTGAGGGTACTTCGAGCCGGCCCATAATTTCCCTTCGAGCCCGTATAAACAGGTTCAGAGCCTGTCTACCTCCACGGACGAAACTTTGCCCTTCAGCAAGGCAGAGAGTTTGACAGTAATGAACAATTTGTTCGACTGTTATATTTGGTATTTTTTAGCCCATCAAGACATTACACCACCCGCACATCCAACCTTACAGAATTTTTAATTGTCCATCCATCGATTAAGTTGCTGAACTTCGGTGATCATACAAGAATCTGTGTTTCAGCATATATACGTAAGCCCGCCTAAACCAAGTAAATGTTTTTATTGATTGATTAATTGATTCATTTACTACGTTTTATCAACCTTTTTTAAAATATTTTTAAATTGTAAGAATTTTTAGATAATAATTTAGTGATACAAATCTTACTAATTAACTCCTAGCTGAGAAGAGAATAAGAGGATTCATACCTTTTGCAAGGGTATTTACGCGTAAATGAATAAAACGAACCCAACGGGAATTGGAACTCCATTAAGCCACCTGGTATTCATAAGCGATCACCCATCTTGGTCTTCACCTGGCTCGATGTTACTTAACTTCGGTGATCTTATGGTAAATATTCATAGATTCAAATATAATAATATAAAATATTTTTGTTTTTATTATCATTATTATTATTATCGCAAATATGAGAGGTGTTATGACTTGGGCAAAATATTGTATCATGCTCTGTGCCATTAGAATGAAGAGTGCCAATATGGATTGTGATGAAAGGAAAAATATTCGAACGAGTGCGTCAGCGATTGTGACATGTCATGTTAAAAGATAGCAGAGAGAAGACTAATCTTTCCCTACCCCTATTTTAACCGTCATGGGTATGACGATAAATTGCATCCACGTCCTGGGTAAGACGATAAACTACGTCCAAAAGCAAGGCCTCTGATCAGGAGGTTTTGAGGAGCGTAGAACCACCTCTTAATTGCTGGTGTTCCCAGGTCCACCCTGACCCCGAGTTGCAGCACGTGTTAGGGTCCCAGTTATGGGAAAATAGTTAACCCCTAAACTCAGGTTAAAGCATTATGAAAGTGTAAAAATAGGTTTTAATACCAGCAATAAATGTTTTGAATGAAGAATTATTATCAGCAATGCATTATTACCAGCAATAAATTTTAGAAGAAAATAAATATTAACAGCAATACATTTTTGGAAAAAAATCTTACCAGCAATAAAATTAATCCATTGAGGTTGATATGCCGTAAACCAAACCAAACAAAAACAAAACAAACTATATTTTAAACTTTTGGTACATTTTTGTGTCATTACGAAAAAATAAACATCTGCATTCCTATTCGGTTGTACGGAAAATATTGCTCGATTTTAGAATCAACTTTTATTGCTGGATTAATATATTTAATCAATGTTTAAATCGCTCAAAATGGGAAGCCTGAATGTCTACACATCTCTGCCATCGAGTTACACGTTTATTTATGCCTTTACAATAAACATCGAAAGGCCTGGACGACCAGTGATCTTTGAATGCCGTTTTTGCACTTTGTTTGCAACGGAATGTCTTTTGGCTTAAAATATTGTCGAGATGTTTGAAAAATTGGTAGTCACTGGATGAGGGATCATGGGAATATAGTCGATGTGGCAAAGTCTCTTATCCCAAGTCGGTGAACTTCTGCCATGATATACTGGAAAAATGTGGTGGAGTGTTGCCAGGAAGCAGAAATAAACATTAAATCATGCCAGTCGTATTTTGCTTAATTAATTCTGTATTTCATCAAGTTACTAGTAGTAAACCTTATCAGTGATAATCTGGTTAGATTCAAGAAAGAACTAATGGACAACGTCAATGGGTCACTAACGTTGGCGGGAAAGCATTAAATGGCTTCAGTTCATCTTTTGAGCTAATTATTTAATTGAAGCAACAATGTTTCTATGGAAAGCAGAAAATTCAGACAACTGGTAAAACCTGTCCATATCCTAAGTTTTATCTTGAAGACACTTCTGCAAAATATTTCAAACCATCTTTGAGAATTTCTTTCGTTTAAAGAATCTATCAATAAACCATGACTATGTGCAGGATTATTGCCTTTCATGTAACTTTTTGATACATCCGTTTTTACGGTAGCTTTAAGTTAGTAACTAAGTTGAATGACGACATAACTTATACGTTTTAAAACTGCAGCGACGCGTAGTGATATACATTATTAACGGGCATTACAGAATAACGCTAATTTTCAATGCGTCACTGTCAGATTTAAGACATGACTTATGCGATGACTTGATATCAGATATTGTTATCATTTAAGCGTTCATTTTATACGACAAAAATAATATTTCATGTTGACAAACCTTCCTTTCAATATACTTAATTCAGCAGTGAATTCTAATCACATAACCAACGAATACCTACGTACCTGGCTATGAACCAATTGTTCCAATGAGTATATATATATATATATATATATATATATATATATATATATATATGATTATTTATTCAAAAATTATAACATAAACATGTTATAACATCACTACAAAAATAACCATTTTGTTTCAACACTTGGAGTGTCTTCTTAAGTGGTGTAGTATGCCATTTTTATTTCATAGACATTCAACACCATTACTTGAGAAAACGCCAGAAGAGTTGAAACAAAATAGGTACTTTTTTAAAGTGATGCTATATCAGGTTTATGCTATAATTTTTGAATAAATGGTATTTGTTCTACGCTGTATTGACCACTCTTTTAAGAATACCGTTTTTGGTTATTGGAATTTCATTCCTTCTACACCGATCCTATACTGATATATATATATATATATATATATATATATATATATATATATATATATGTGTGTGTGTGTGTGTGTGTGTGTGTGTGTGTTTGTGTGTGAGTGTCTTCCTTTACTTTGTTTTCGTTATTTATTTCATTATCTCGTTTTTCTTTCTTTTGCTCTCTTTCTCTCTTTCTTTTTTATTTCTTTTGTTCGTGTTTATCATTCTCAACTTGTTTTTTTTCTTTATTCTAATATATATATATATATATATATATATATATATATATATATATATATATATATATATATATATATCAGTGGTGACTCTGGCAGTCAGGCTTGTTGGGTTCTTCCTGA